AATGAGCGAGCTTTGTGACAGATGCTGGATCCCTGGGGACATCCCCAGGCAAAGGGAAAGGCTAAAATTTCAGGGGGAGAATCTGCATTTCTGGATGAGAAATGGGCAATAACAGGGTGCGGAGCCCTAGCATGACCATGGTTGCAGTGAAAAATACCCAGGAATCATACCGAGGGGAAAATACCCAGGGTTCAGGGATCATAAGGGACTCTGAACTTGGCCTGAGCAGAAGGGTACGGTGTTTGCCCACAAAAAATGAAACTGCTTTGGGACACATTAATAGAGGCTGGTCACAGAGAAGGGGGGTTGATTTTCCAGCTTGTTTCTTGCTATTAGAGACCATCTGAGCATGTGCCCAGCTCTGAGTATCACAGTAACAACCTGGAGAGTACCCAGAGGCAGAACCAAAATGGGAAAGGGTCTGGGCACCTCATGGGAACTGCCGCTGCTCAGAAGTCCAGGTCCTGTCACCCACAGGCTGAGAGGACTTGGGCAGGTGACTCAACCTTGCTGGGCCTCAGACTTCTCATCATAAATGAAAATCACAGTAACTCCTACCAGCAGGGTATATTTGAACAGTAAATGAAATATTTGCAGAAAGATTTGGCTGTCTGCCTGGGAAACACCAAGCACATACTGAGCCTTCAGACACCTGGGAAGGAGAAGCAGGAACATGGATGGTGACCTAGGGCTGGTGGAGGAACTAGGGACCCCCTGTGAGGCTCCTAGACAAACTTACCTCTGGGCATCTGCCCTGAACTTGGGCTGGCGTCACAAGGAAATTGGTCACCAAGAAGAACACGTTCTCTCCCTAGGAGGCAAGTCTCAAGGTTGGCCCCTGCTGGGTTTCCTCCCCCGGAGAGGCCAAAAGCTGGCAGCCTGGTTTGTGAGGGAAGGAGCCTAGGCCTCACTTAGTCACCAGCCCTGTCCCCCAGGGAAACGCCTCCAGTGAGGCAGGTCGAAGCAGAAATGGGAGGCTGGCTGGGTTTCTGGCATTTCTGAGCCCAGGAACCTCATGCCCGTGTCCACCTCTTTGAGACAGTTTATTTCGTACGTTCACTCTCAGAATTTTCCAAGAGCCTCCTACTTCCAGACACTGAAAATCCAGAGGTGAGTTGGACCGGGCACCTGGCCAGGCTAGAGGAGGGGACCCCGCATCACAGGCACAGCAGCACCGCACAGCAGGGACCCAGGGACAGATGGGAAGTTCTGCCTGGGGTCAAAGGGTGGCTGGCACCCCGGTGCTGTTCATGAGAGCACTGTGCATTTGGGAAGGTATGCCCAGGAAGGGAAGGCAGGGGCTGAGCAGAGGGCAGTGGGGTGTGGCAGCAGTTAAGATATGGAGGGACGTGATGGCCACCACACGGCAGAGGAGCCTTCCAAGGGTAGAAAGGGACTGGCAGGCTCTCATGATGTTAAGTGTAAAAGCTCCCCCTGGCTGCTGGCGGTGGTGTGCACCCGGTGGCAGAGAGTGGGCAAGAGGGGAGTGAGAGGGTCACTGGGAGACCACAGCTTCACCCAGGCACAGCTTGGGCAGTGGTAAGCAAGGTTGGGAGAGACAGGAAGGTGTCGAGACTGAGTCCCAGGTCCAAATTTGGCACTGGTGGATGTCACAGTCTTCACTGAATGAAGAGAGGCCATGCCAGGAGAGGGAAATGATTTCTCTTTGGACATGGTGGGAGGCAGCTGCACTCAGGTAGGTAGTCACTGGTGCTACAATTTGGGCATCAGGGGAACAGAGGTGGAAATTGAGGCTGCAGATGAGCTGCATGGAAGGAAAAGGGAAATGCGACCCAAGAGGGCAGAGAATGTTCACCTGACAGGGGTGCCCCAGGTCAGGGAGGGGACCTGGGGAAGCTTGGGCTCTAGCCCCCCACACCCCTGCGACCCCACCCTCATGCTCAAGCCTTGAGTCTCAGACACTGCACTCTTTTCCAGATGCAGCTTTTGTAAATGCAGTTCTTCTGGCCTGGCTTCCCGACCTTCCCCTCATCCACCTGGAAACCTTCTACACATGCCTGCAAGCTGTGCCCAGGTGCTGCGCCTCTCTGAGGCCCTCCCTGCCGTTCCAGCCACCCTCTGGCATCCCATGCCTCTCCTTGCACACACTCGCTGCAAGGGTGCTGTCTGAGCTGTCAGCAAGAGAATAACTCAGGCCCCCAGCAGAAGCACCAGGGCACCCACCCACCTGCGGTGGCTTCACGAAGTCAGCCACATCCCACAGCCGGTTCCCAAGCTCCTTGATCTGAGTCACAGAAACCCCTTTGAGTTTGGTGATGATGGAAATCTGGGGATCCAGGTCCCGCTCCTGGTAGCCTTTATTGGTGAGAAGGGCCCACCTGGGGAGGAGGTGATGGGCAGTGTGGTGTGTCCTCAGCACGCAGTGAGCAGTGGCAGAGCTGGGCCTGACAGTTCTCTCTCCACACACCTTATGGGCTCCCAGTCCAGCGCCAAGGACCCCTGCCTCCTCTCCAGCCTCACATCCCACCACAGATCCCCTGAACAGGCCAGGAGCTCCAACATGTATTGGAGAGTCAGTGTCCTCAGACAGAGATGCCCGTCACCACCACCTTCCTCAGCTAACAATCAACCCTTGGCTAGGCCCAGCTCCCTCCTTAAAGACTCCCCTGACCCCCAGTTAGAACTTGTGGTCTCGGGCCGGCCCAGTGGCGCACTGGAGAGTGCGCCGCTTGGGAGAGTGGCAGCGCTCCCGCCGAGGGTTCAGATCCCATGTGGAGACCGGTTCCTGCTCACTGGCTGAGCGCGGTGCAGACGCAGCACCGAGGGTTGCGATCCCGTTGCCGGTCAGTAAAAAAGACAAAAAGGAATTAAAAAAAAAAAAGAAAAGAAAAAAGAACTTGTGGTCTCTCTGCGGGGCCTTAGTGCCCCAGCTCTCACAAATATCAGGTACCACCTTCTGCCCCTCCAGGGCATCTCCTACGCAGGGGTGGGGCCTATCCTGCTCTGTGTCCCAAGCCCAACATGGGAGGGGGGGGACAATGCTCTGGAAAGGTGGGCACTTAGGACAGAATCACACAGCTTGTTCTTGTATCCACTGGCCTCTGAACAGATGGAGATCCCTCCTTCTGCCTACCCCCTACATTGTTCCAAACTGCCACCTCCACCCCCACCAGCCCAGCCCCTAAAGAGCCAAACCCACAACCCTCAGCCCAGCGGGACCAACCATGATTCCTCCAGCCAACATGGCCAAGAGCTTTTCTCTCTTACCCCACGACATAGGCCACGACCCCGAGCTGTAGCATCCTCTGCAGGATGCCCACCCGCCAGTTCCTGGTCATCACATACTTCTCCGTCTTGTAATCCAGAAGCCCCCAGCCTGCTGAGGCCCCTGGGGAGCCCATGCTCCCAGCTCCTGCTGGCTGCGAGGGCGCATGAGTCAGCACAGCAGCTGCAGCCACAGCCGAACAGGAGGCAAAGCGGGCGCCCAATCGGGTCAGGCCAGCTGCTATTAAAGGGACACTTCCACCTGGGCAGGATCCAGCCTCTACCCCCCAGCCCTCAGTCCCATGCCCCAGCTACCCAGGGCTTCCCACCTTCTCCAGAGTCCCTCACAGAGAGGAGCAGCCCTGTCCCTGCTCTCTGGCCTAACTTCCTTGGGAGGAGAGTGGTGATGGCAGGTGTTGTGAGTGTTGTGAGAGACAGCATGGGGCCAGAGGACGGGCTAAGGAAAGCTTCAGGAAGAAGTGGCTTCTAAGCTGACGCTTGCCGATTCTGAAGTTCAACAAACCAAGCCGGAGAGAAATGTTCCTGGTGGAGGGAGCAGCGTATTCAAAGGACAGACTGAGAGCCACAGAGTGAGAGTGTGACTCTGGCTCCAGAGAGGAGGGGGACCCGGCTCAGCAAGGCTCCCCAGGCCCTCTCATAGAGCTGCCCCCACCCCGCAAGTGCAGCGACGAAAGCACAAGCTCTGGAGTCAGGTGTGTTTCCCAGTCCGTGGAAGGGACTGCAAACTCATAGGGCGACAGGGAGTATAAACGCCCGCAAGGCGCCCAGCCTTGCTCCTGGTCCGCGGGGAGTGTTTTGATCCGCCCTGGCGACGAGGTCAGCTCAGGGCAGCAGCAGTTTCTGCGGCAACCAACAAGATCGCGTTGCCCGGGCGACCCCCGCGGGAACAGCGCGTCACTATTGGCTGCGGCGGACGCCCGTTCGCTGTGCGCCACATTCGATTGGTCAGCGCAGCCGGAGGGTCCTCCCACATTCCCGGGCCGCGCTCTAGGCGTGGCTCCGCGCTGTCCTGCCCTCAGTGCCGGCGACTGAGAAAGGCGCGTAGCCATGAGTAGTACCTGCGAGAGGTCTGAGGAGAACCAAGAGCAGGAGGTAGAGGCGGCGGCGGCCGCTGGGCATCTTGCAGGGTTCCTGGAGGCCGAGGACGGTTCGGACGCAGATTCGGACTCAGACCTGGAGACGGAAGGTGCCCCCGGCGTGGGGATCAGGCCTCTCTCCTCACTTTGGGGGTTTCTTTGGCAGGGGCGGAGGGAAGCGGGCTGGGGCCGAGTGGGTAGGGGATCCCTGTCCAGGAGAGGACGCGTCCCTGTGTGGGACGCCTTCAGGGCAACCAGCATCCCCTCCAGCTCCGGTGCTCTTCCCAGCGGTATCAGGAGTTCCATCATTAGAACATGCTTCCAGAATGACGTTAAAGTGCAAAACCCCGCCAAACAGTGTCCCACCCTGAAATGGGACCAGAGCTGGACTTTCCCAGCCCACAGGAAAACCTAAGCCAGAGAATTTAGAATTGTTTCAGTTTTTGTCCGCATAAGATGTTCCTAAGGGCCGGCCCCGTGGCTCACTTGGGAGAGGGCGGCGCTGGGAGCGCCGAGGCCGAGGGTTCGGTTCCTATATAGGGGTGGCCGGTGCGCTCACTGGTTGAGCGTGGTACGGACGACACCAAGCCAAGGGTTACAATCCCTTACCGGTCACAAACAAAAAAAAGAAAAAAAAAAGAAAAAAGATGTTCATAAAACGTTTGTGCTCTGCAATCCCCCGGGGAGAGACACAGCATGCACTTTGGCGTCAGACAGGCAGAGTCCTTATCCTAATTCTGCTAGGATTAGCTACTACTAGCTGTGTGACTTTGGGGAAAGCATTTGCTTTTTCTGAGCATCAATGTCCTCATCTATAATATGGGGGCAATAATCCCAACTAGCACAGGAAGAAACACCTCTAGAGGGGAAACATAGGCCAAGTAATGAAGGAGGGAAGGGGAAGAGGCAGGTGGTTGTGCCCAGGAAGGGATCCACATTTGTCCCCCTGTCTCCTGTCAGGCACCCATGGACTTGGAAAACTGGACAGAGACACCCTCTACCTGGGGTCTCGCCGCACCTATAGTGTAGTGCCAGCCCCGGAGCTGAACCTGCGGCACCGTGGCCTGGGGCCCCAGGTATTGCTGGAGGAACACTGGGGCCAGGCTTGAAGTGGTAGGACCCAGTAGACAGTAGCCACGGGAGTGCCCCTCCCTGAGTGCATCCCACACACCCCCAGCCTTCCTCTGTGCCAGGCATGTCCCATCCCCCACATCCAGGAGACAGATGGGATCGAGGCTGGGGAACCTACAGACCCCTAGCCTAGTGGGGCTTCAGGGAAGGCTCCAGGAGGTGAGATCTGGGCAGGGTGTCATTTTCCTCTAGAAGAAGAAGCAGGTGTCCCCTGGGCATGTGGGAAGGGGAAGGTTTTCCAGCGGGAAGATGATGAATGGGCTGACCCCTGGGAGCAGGATAGTGGCCAGCTGTGTCTGGGACCCTCAGCCTTGGGAAGAACCAGACCCCTCAGGCCCCTCTTCTCTATCCCAGGGGGTCCAGGCACTGGCTTCCACATTGACTTCCAATCCCTATATCAAGCGGCTGGACCTTCGAGACAATGGACTCTGTGTGGCTGGTGCAGAGGCCCTGGCAGATGCCCTGAGCAAAAACAGTAGTGTCTGTGGTAGGTGCTTAGCGTGGGGCAGGTGGGCAGGCTTGAGTCCCTCCTTTCTTCAGGGATGCAGTCCTCCAAGCCCAGCCTTCTCACCTGTGGCCTGCTGCTGTTGCTGGGGCTGGGAGAGGGACCTCAGCACAAAGTGGGGTGCATAGGGTGGAGTTAGACCCTCTGTAGTGCACCCAGTGCTGGACAGCACTCCCTCCCTGACCCTCCCTGTCTTACCCACTCCCCTCCTCTGCTGGCCAGCACCCTGGCACACGGTGGACTCCCAGTGCCTGGATGCAGTGGGGGAGAGTCCTTCAACTCAGAGAGGTCGGGGCTGGGCAGTGTGAGAAGAGCGAGAGCAGGGGGGGCAGGTAGGAGTTTGATGGGGCCGGATCCAAAAGCCAACTCTGCCACTAAAGAGCAGGCTGACCTGGGCAAGCAGCTCAACCTTGCTGAGCCTCAGTTTCCAACCTGAAATGACTCCACCAATACCACTTAGCCCTTGGGTGATTAAATGAAACTTCAGGGCCACCCGTGGCTCACTTGGGAGAGTGTGGTGCTGATAACACCAAGGCCACAGGTTCGGATCCCATATAGGGATGGCCGGTTGGCTCACTGGCTGAGCGTGGTGCTGACAACACCAAGCCAAGGGTTGAGATCCCCTTACCGGTCATCTTTAAAAAAAAAAAAAAGGAAAAGAAACTTCAAACGCAAAGTGGTCAGCTAAGTTTCTGTCTCACGTAAATGCTCTGTGCACCACCACCTGGGCTGTTATTGCCAGTCCCTGGCAAGGGGGCAGTGGGTACTTCTGTGGGCGAGTTATACTGCTGCCAGACATGAGTCACCAATAGGGTGGCTGCCCTTTCACCGCAGCATTGTCCCCAGCACCACAAGGAAGGTGGTTCTAACCCCTTGACAGAGAAACTGGTGGACATGCAGAGAGGGGGATGTCGGGAGCCGAGGGAACCCAGCCAATGGGTGGCAGAGCCACCATGCAGCCTCAGGACAGTCCAAGCACAAGCCCCTTCCTCTACCTCAGGCCTGGAGGTTTGGGAGATGGAAGAAAGGGGAGGAGGGTGGTGCCTGGCTTTGCATCCCACTGACTGAGGAGTGGTGCTGGCCCCCAGATGTGGATCTGTCGGAGAACCAGCTGGGAGCAGCGGGAGCCCAGGCCCTCTGTGCTGCCTTTGCAGTGAACCAGGCTGTGGAGAAGATCCAGCTGTCAGGGAACGGCCTGGAGGAGCAGGCAGCCCAGTACCTTGCTGAACTCCTCCTGGCGCACACAGGCTTGAAATCCCTGGACCTGAGCTATAACCAGCTGAGTGATCAAGCAGGTAATGCCCGGGCCACCATGGGACATGAAAGCTCATCTTCCTACAGCAGAGGTGGGTGGGAGTTGGCAGGAATGTCCACCAGAGAACATCCATGCTCTGGCTCCTGGTCCCACACCCCACTTTGGCCTAGTCTTCTCTCACTCTAGCCACACAGAACTCTTAATTCATTCCACAAGTATGTCATTGCCCACTGCTGTAGGTGCTGAGCACTGACTTAGCTACCGGGGGTCCAACCATGAACAAAACAAAGTTTCTGACCTCAAAGAACACATGTTAATAAGATAATTCTTGGTAATTTCTGGTGTTACAAAATAAACAGTATGTGGTTCTAGAGAAGAATGGAGACCCTGCTCTAGAGGGGTGGCTGGGGAGGCCTCTGTGAAGAGGTGACATTTAAGTGGAAGTGTGCAGGGTGGGAAGGAATCAGCCATGGCAAGACTAGAAGGAAACATTTCAAGCAGAGGAACAGCAATCATGCAGGCCTATTTTCCAGACTGACAGACACCAACATGACCAGGCAAGTGAGCCAGGAGAGAATGGCCAGGCTTTGGAGCCCAGAGCAAGAGGGGGCTTCAGGCCTCAGATCATGGGAAAAGGTGTGAAGATTTTGTTCCAAGTGCTGTGGAATACATGAGTGAGATTCCTTGATCTCATCTCTCTCATGCCCCAGGGCCTTTGCACAGGCTGTCTGCTTTGCCAGGAATATGCATTTCTATCTGCCTGTCCCCAAACACTCCAATCAATTGTAAGAATCACCTGGGACTCTGGGTTAGGAATACAGATTCTTGAGCCCTTGATCTGCTTAACTAGACTCTTGGGGGGATGCCCATGCATCTGCATTTTAGTGGATGTCCCAGGAGAATTGTCTCAAATAGAAACTTTGAAATCACTGCTCTGTCTCAAGCTGCTTAGAGGGAGTGGGATGGCACCAGCCTTGGCCTGTGAGAATTGACTCTGGAGTTTAACTGCCAGAGAGCCAGTTTACTTTCCAAGAAAACTGTGGGAAGTCAGTGACATTTTCATAAAATAAAAGAGAGGTTCGGACCAACCCTGTGGCTCACTCGGGAGAGTGCGGCGCTGGGAGCGCCGCAGCCGCGGGTTCAGATCCT